GCACCCGCTCATTGTTTGACGTAGTTTTGTTGATTGACAAAGCGTTAGGGTTAGTGTTCAGGATTATAAAATATGTTAGGTTTACCATTGGGTTGGCATTTTCTTGCATAGGAACAGGTCTAGGGTAGTTGAAAGGGGCTTCCCAACTCTCAGGAGATATTTAATGTCTACTGCACCCTTAAAAAACAACTAAAACCACATTCATTTCACCCTCGCCCTGGACTCCAAAGCATTTCACTCAATGGTGGAATTTTGCCAAAATGTTCCCAATTTTTGGAAAAATTTTCAACAAAGCAAAAACTCCTGATCTCATTCATGCTTAGTTCTCATTAAGGGACGTTCCTTGTTGTGTTCCCAATATACGCATGGAAGGATTGATGTTGGCTGCTCCTTGTCCAAACCTTAGGAGCCTTTATTGTTGGGTTGTCAATGTACACATCCCAACAATAAAGGATCCTAGGGCTCCTACAGACAGATTTATGAAAGTGGGAATGCTGCTCTTCATAAATGGTTTTATTAGAAGATCTGCAGAATTTAAAATTCAATTTGATATGCAAAGATGGTCTTTAGTCCACACTTGCTTGGTTTTTTCAAAAAAACAGGCTCGAATCCTTTGAAATTTCACAATCACCCCAAAAATCACACCAACTGTGTAAAACAATGGCAAAGTATATGTTACTAATTGGGATGAGTGGTTGAGTTCCCATCTAAAGTGTGCAATGCTCCCTACCTGGGGCACCCACTCATTGTTTGAATGAGCAATGCAGTGCAATGCTCCTTCCCTATTAGTTCTCATGAAGGGATGTTCCTTGTTGTGTTTCCAGTATATGCATGGAAGGATAGACATTGGCTGCTCTTGTCCTTGTGCATGCACCCAGAAGTGGCAGAGAAGGAATGCAGCTGTGTTCCTTTACCAAACACCACTGGGGCATCCCAGTAGGTGGTGATGCCAAACCTCAGTAGCAGGGAAACCTCACTGTAAATCCCAGAAGGAGGGGATACCTCACTTCAGACCTCAGTAGGTAAGAATAATTCATTCTAGACCCCAGTAGATGGGGATATCTCAATCTAAATCAAAGTAGATGGGGATATCTCATTCTAGACCCCAGTAGATTGGGATATCTCATTCTAGACCAGGGGTGGGCAAACTTTTTGACTTGAGGGCCGCAATGGGTTCATTCATATTGGACCCGGTCGCCGGACAAAGAGTAGATGAATGATGTGTATGTGTCATCCATAGTAAGTATAGTAATATTCCCCCATAGTAAGCATAGTAATTTATCCCCCATATAGTAATTCATCCCCCATATAGTAATTAATCCCCCGTCCCCCATATAGTAATTCATCCCCCATATAGTAATTCATCCCCCATAGTAATTCATCCCCCATATAGTAATTCATCCCCCATAGTAATTCATCCCCATATAGTAATTCATCCCCATAGTAATTCATCCCTCATAGTAATTCATCCCCCCTATAGTAATTCATCCCCCCTATAGTAATTCATCCCCCCCTATAGTAATTAATCCCCCCTATAGTAATTCATCCCCCCTATAGTAATTCATCCCCCCTATAGTAATTAATCCCCCCTGTAGTAATTCATCCCCCATAGTAATTCATCCCCCATATAGTAATTCATCCCCCTATAGTAATTCATTCCCCCATATAGTAATTCATCCCCCATATAGTAATTCATCCCCCATAGTAATTCATCCCCCATAGTAATTCATCCCCCATATAGTAATTCATCCCCCCTATAGTAATTCATCCCCCATATAGTAATTCATCCCCCATAGTAATTCGTCCCCCATATAGTAATTCATCCCCCCTATAGTAATTCATCCCCCCATAGTAATTCATCCCCCATATAGTAATTCATCCCCCATAGTAATTCACCTTCCCATAGTAATTCATCCCCCATATAGTAATTCATTCCCCATATTATTTCATCCCCCATATTAAGTCCCCATGTCCCCCCTGTGTCAATTCACTTACCTTTGCTCCACGCGTTCCTCTCGCCGTGTTCCCGCGCCGTTCCGGTGCAGCATGAAAATCTGTCTCCTATGAGGATCTGTCCCCCTCGACGTATCTGCGCATGTGCCAGTTTCAGGCATTAGCAGCCGATCGGGGCAATCTCCGGCACATGCGCAGATACGTCGAGGGGGACAGATCCTCATAGGAGACAGATTTTCATGCTACACCGGTCTTCAGGGCGGACTGTGAGAGGAGCCTAGCTCCCCTCACGTTCTTCACGCTGCCCCGCCTACACACATCCTGACAGCCATCCTGACAGTATCACGCTCCGCGGATGGGATTAAAAGGTCCGCCGGGCCGTATACGGCCCAAAGGGCCGTAGTTTGCCCATTGCTGTTCTAGACCCTGGTAGGTGGGATATCTCACTCTAGACCCTGGTAGGTGGAGATGGGTCATTCTAGCAATTTGTAGACCGGGACACCTCATTGTAGGCCCAGCAGGCACGGAAGGATACCTCATTCTAGATCACAGTAAGAAGGGATGCCTCATTCTAGACCCCAGTATGTGGGAATATCTTATTGTAGAACCCCATTGTTTGCAGATACCTCATTATAGACACAATATTTGAGGATACCTCCATACCCCATACCAGCATCCTGATCACCACCCCCATACCAGAATCCTGATCACCGCCATACCCCATACCAGCGTCCTGATCACCACCATACCCCATACCAGCATCCTGATCACCTCCATACCCCATACCAGCGTCCTGATCACGGCCATGCCCCATACCAGCATCCTGATAACCGCCATACCCCATACCGGCATCCTGATCACTGCCATACCAGAATCCTGATCACTGCCATCCTCCATACCAGAATCCTGATCACCACCATACCCCATACCAGCATCCTGATCACCACCATACCCCATACCAGCATCCTGATCACCACCATACCCCATACCAGAATCCTGATCACCACCATACTCCATACCGGCATCCTGATCACCGCCATACTCCATACCAGCATTCTGATCACCACCATACCTCATACCAGCATCCTGATCACCGCCATACCCCATACCGAGTTTCTTGTCTTCCCCCCAGCCTGGACACCATCAAACCCCCCCGCAGGCCAGAGTACTTGGTGTCATTCTGGACTCCAACCTATCCCTCCAGCCCCAAGTCCAATCTTTAACAAACTCATGCAGACTCCACCTCCCAACATCGCCAAAATACGCCCATTCCTAACCCCAGAAACCACTAAACAGCTCATCCACTCCCTCATCATATCACAACTCGACTACTGCAACTCCCTCCTCACTGGCCTGCCTCGCCACAGGCTATCCCCCCCCGCTTCAGTCCATCCTGAATACGGCTGCCAGACTCATTCACCTTTCCAACCGCTCCATCTCTGTCACCCCTCTCTGCCAATCCCTCCACTGGCCTCCATTCAGTGTCCTCCACCCCCCTCTGCCAATCCCTCCACTGGCTTCCGATTGCGCAACGGATTAAATTCAAAATCCTAACACTGACATACAAAGCCGTCCACCATACTGCCCCGAACTACATTACTGACCTAATATCCAAGTACCGCCTAGCACACACACTCCGCTCCTCACAAGACCTCCTTCTCTCTAGTTCCAGCTGGTCTCCTCCTCCCATGCCCTCCTCCAGGACTTCTTCAGGGTGTCACCCATCCTCTGGAACTCCCTGCCCCAACCCATCAGATTATCACCTACTCTCCTCTCCTTTAGGCGCATCCTGAAAACCCCATCTCTTCAGGGAAGCCTACCCCCCCCCCCCCTGCTAACGTGCCGACCTCCTCCACTCTTCCTACCACCCCATCCCCCACAGCTATCTCCTCCTGTCACCACCATCCCCTCCCTCCTAGATTGTAAGCTCGAAAGAGCAGGGCCCTCAATCCCTTCGCGTTTTGCATTGTATTGGTATTGTTCTGTCACATGTTCTGTCCCCCTTTGTAATGTACAGCGCTGAGCGAACTATTGGCGCTTTATAAATACTGTATAATAATAATAATAATAATACCAGCATCCTGATCACGACCATACCCCATACCAGTGTCCTGATCACCACCATACCCCATACCAGCATCCTGATCACCGCCATACCCCATACCAGCATCCTGATCACCCCCCATACCCCATACCAGTGTCCTGATCACCACCATACCCCATACCAGCATCCTGATCACCGCCACACCCCATACCAGCGTCCTGATCACCACCATACCCCATACCAGAATCCTGATCACCACCATACCCCATACCAGCGTCCTGATCACCACCATACCCCATACCAGCATCCTGATCACCTCCATACCCCATACCAGAATCCTGATCACCACCATACCCCATACCAGCATCCTGATCACCGCCACAACCCCATACCAGCATCCTGATCACCTCCATACCCCATACCAGAATCCTGATCACCACCATACCCCATACCAGCATCCTGATCACCGCCACACCCCATACCATCACCTGGCATTTTAGGATCTCAAATGATCAATTTTCAAATATATATCCCATAGTTTGTAGACTCTATAGCTTTCACACAGACTAAATAATATACACTATTTTGGGTTATTTTTACCCCCAAAATGTTGTAGAACACATTTTGGCCTAAATTTATGAAGAAAGATGATTTATTTGCAAAAATTTATAGCAAAAACGAAGCAAAAAAAAGTATTTTATTTTCAAACTTTTCGGTATTTTTTCATTTATATAGCAAAAAATAAATACCACCAAAATAAAGCTCTGTCTACTGAAAATGGTAACAATTGCATATGGGTACAGTATTGCATGACTGAGTAATTGTCACTCAAAGTGGGTTAGTGCTGAAAGCTGGCCTGGACTGGAAGAGGGTGAAAGTGTCTGGACTTTAAGCGGTTAAAGTACGGCTGAAGGAAATTCTGAAAACATAACCTGTTCGGGGGTACGTGAGGACAAAAGTTGCGAACCACTGCCCTAAAGCTGCCCTGGATGCTCATACTCACTGTGGGATCCACCCGCTCCAGTGGCGCTGAATCGGTTGGTGGCACTACGGTGACTGGTGACGTTTTTCTGTGGCTGGAACATGATGATGTGAAGTTTTGGGGTGAAGAGGCATCCTAGGACCACCGAGCCACTGAGACTGACCGAGACACACAGAGTGGTGGTCTGAACCTGAGAGAGAGAGAAGAGTCAATGATTTAGGTGTCTAACAATCATTTGTAACCGTGTTTACAACTCACACATAACATAAAATGTAAAATACAATAATATTAACATACGATGTAAAGTGTAAAATATGTGAAAATTGGGCACAATTACACTGAATGGCCAAATGTTTTTGGCCTCCTGACCATCACACATATATGAGCTAGTTGGACATCCCATTCCAAAACCTTGACCATTAATGTGGATTTGCTCCCCTCTCCCCCATAACCATAAATATGCAGTTTTCCCCCCCCCCTTCCCCCCATTGTGGCTTATAACATCCTTCACACTTCTGAGAAGGCTTTCCAGAGGAATTTGGAGGGTGTCTGTGGGAATTTGTGGCCATTTGTAAGCTTTGGTACTGATGTTGGATGAGAAGACATGACTCACAATTGGCATTCCAATTCATCCAAAAGGTGTTCTGTAGGGTTGAGGCCAGGCTCGAGTTCCTTCACACCAAACTGGTAATACTATGTCTTTATGGAGCTGGTTTTGTGGATACCTGACCATCATATTTCATTGTAGGGCATCCCATTCCAAAACCATGGCCATTAACATAAAGTCGAACCCCTACCTTTGCTGCTATAACATCCTCCACTCTTCTGGAAAATCTTTCCACAAAATTTTGGAAGGTGTCTATGGGAATTTTGCCCATGCTTGAGGTACTGATGTTGGATAAGAAGGCCTGGCTCACTATCAGCATTCCAATTCATCCCAAAGGTGTTCAGTAGGGTTGAGGTCAGGGCCCTGTGCAGGACACTCAAGTTCCTCCACACCAAACTGGTCAAACTGGAGATGAAAGGTGTCTATGGAAATTTTTCCCATATGTGACATCAGGTACTGATGTAGGACATTCAAGTTCCTCCACACCAAACAGGTCAAACCATGCTATTATGGAACTGGAAGGTGTCTATGGGAATTTTGCCCATATGTGAGGTCAGGTACTGATTCTGGATAAGAAGACCTGGATCACCGTCAGCATTTCAATTCATCCTAAAGGTGTTCAGTAGGGCTGAGATCAGGGCACTCAAGTTCCTCCACACCAAATTGGTCAAACTGAAGATGGAAGGTGTCCATGGGAATTCTGGAATTCTGCCCATATGTGAGGTCAGGCACTGATGCTGGATGAGAAGACCTGGCTCACCATCAGCATTCCAATTCCAAAGGCATTCAGTAGGGTTGAGGTCAGGGCTCTGTGCAGGACACGCATGTTCCTCCACACCTAACTAGTCAAACTGGTGCTGGAAGGTTCTACGAGAACTTTGCCCATATGTGAGGTCAGGTGCTGATGCAGGACACTCAAGTTCCTTCACACCAAACTGGAGCTGGAAGGTGTCTATGTGGATTTTGACCATATGTGAGATAGGGTAGGGATGTTGGATGAGAAGACCTAGCTCACCATCAGCATTTCAATTCATCCCAAAGATGTTCAGTAGGGTTGAGGTCAGGGCCCTGTGCAGGACACTCAAGTTCCTCCACACCAAACAGCTTAAACCATGTCATTATGGAACTGTAAGATATCTATGGGAATTTTGTCCATAGGTGAGGTCAGGTACTGATGCTGGATGAGAAGACCTGACTCACCATCAGCATTTCAATTAATTCCAAAGGTGTTCAGTAGGGTTCAGGTTAGGGCACTGACGTCCCTCCACACGAAACTGGTCACACTATGTCTTTATGGAGGTGGCTTTATAAACATGGGCACAGTCATGCTGGACTAGAAAAGAGTCTTCACCAAACTGTTACCACAAGGTTGGAGAAGCGCCATGGTCTACAGTGTCTTTGTATGATGGAGTATTAGCAGGACCCTTCACTGGAGATGCCTGAATTCCATTATTTGGAGAGGATGGGAGGGGGTGCACATTATTTTGGCCATCTAGTAAGTATAATTTATACATTTATTATATACAGTCAGGTCCATAAATATTGGGACATGGACACAATTCTAACATTTTTGGCTCTATACACCACAATGGATTTGAAATGAAACGAACAAGATGTACTTTAACTGCAAACTGTCAGCTTTAATATGAGGGTATTTACATCCAAATCAGGTGAACGGTGTAGGAATGACAACAGTTTGCATATGTGCCTCCCACTTGTTAAGGGACCAAAAGTAATGGGACAGAAAAATAATCATAAATCAAACTTTCACTTTTTAATACTTGGTTGCAAATCCTTTGCAGTCAATTACAGCCTGAAGTGTGGAACGCATAGACATCCCCAGACGCTGGGTTTCATCCCTGGTGATGCTCTGCCAGGCCTCTACTGCAACTGTCTTCAGTTCCTGCTTGTTCTTGGGGCATTTTCCCTTCAGTTTTGTCTTCAGCAAGTGAAATGCTCAATCGGATTCAGGTCAGGTGATGGACTTGGCCATTGCAGAACATTCCACTTCTTTGGTGGCTTTTGCAGTCTGCTTTGGGTCATTGTCCATCTGCACTGTGAAGCGTCCAATGAGTTGTGAAGCATTTGGCTGAATATGAGCAGATAATATTCCCGAAACACTTCACAATTCATCCGGCTGCTTCTGTCAGCCGTCACATCATCAATAAATACAAGAGAAGCAGTTCCATTGGCAGCCATACATGCCCACGCCATGACACTACCACCACCATGATCACTGATGAGGTGGTATGCTTAGGACCATGAGCAGTTCCTTCTCCATACTCTTCTCTTCCCATCACTCTGGTACAAGTTGATGTCGGTCTCATCTGTCCATAGGATGTTGTTCCAGAACTGTGAAGGCTTTTTTACATGTCGTTTGGCAAACTCTAATCTGGCCTTCCTGTTTTTGAGGCTCACCAATGGTTTCCATCTTGTGGTGAACCCTCTGTATTCACTCTGGTGAAGTCTTCTCTTGATTGGTGACTTTGACACACATACACCTACCTCCTGGAGAGTGTTCTTGATCTGGCCAACTGTTGTGAAGGGTGTTTTCTTCATCAGGGAAAGAATTCTTCGCTCATCCACCACAGTTGTTTTCCGTGGTCTTCCGGGTCTTTTTTGGTGTTGCTGAGCTCACCGGTGCGTTCCTTCTTTTTAAGAATGTTCCAAACAGTTGTTTTGGCCACGCCTAATGTTTTTGCTATCTCTCTGATGGGTTTGTTTTGTTTTTTCAGCCTGATGATGGCTTCACTGATAGTGACAGCTCTTTGGATCTCATCTTGAGAGTTGACAGCAACAGATTCCAAATGCAAATAGCACACTTGAAATGAATTCTGGACCTTTTATCTGCTCATTGTAATTGGGATAATGAGGGAATAACACACACCTGGCCATGGAACAGCTGAGAAGCCAATTGTCCCATTACTTTTGGTCCCTTAACAAGTGGGAGGCACATATGCAAACTGTTGTAATTCCTACACCGTTCACCTGACTTGGGTGTAAATACCCTCAAATTAAAGCTGTCAGTCTGCAGTTAAAGCACATCTTGTTCGTTTCATTTAAAATCCAATATTTATGGACCTGACTGTATATAAAACAAGTTCCTACAAACCTTCCATGGAAGAGGTACCGATGTTCATATTCACTATGTAATATTTAGGAGGAACATTTCCTGACCGCCTTTCTGGCACTTCGGGAAAGCTTTACAAATGGTCGCTAAATGTCGCGGCTACCTGACAAGTCTTCGAGTTTGTAGGGAAAAGCTTGTGTGTATGAACCCTGAGGGAGCGACATTAGCGGTGCTGCCCACTGCGACTACGGGAGGAAACGCTTTGCCATCTGTGGCCGCGGAGAAGACATTCATCTTTTCTCCATGCGGTATTTTTGGCACAGCGGGGTCTCTGTAAATAAGGTTCTATATTTATATCTCATAGAGGATAAAAGAGTAATTGCTGTTTTCTGGAAGACGGGCGAGAAACAAAATGTACAAATATATTCATAGAGGCAGTGCGGACTACGAGGCAGAGATCCGATGCAAACTCCATGCTTGTGGGCTTTTCAATCGATGCTTTTTATAAAAGTTCGTCTTCCAGAATAGGAACTCTTCAACCACGCATGAGGGCGAATGTATAAAACGGTGAATCTGACATTCACCAATCACTATAGGTGATGGGAATGTACATGAACTGAGTAGGATGGGGGGGGGGGGGGGATTTACTAAAACTGGAGCACTCAGAATCTGGTGCAGCTGTGCATGGCAGCCAATCAGATTCTACCTTCAGCTTGTTCATTTAGGGTTTGGCAATAAAACCTGGAAGCTGATTGGTTACTGACTCTTTCACGTTATATACAGATCACTGATCCAGCACTGCTTCCTCCTCCACAGTAAATGCTACATAAATCATCTGCCCTTACTCAAGATGGCCTTGGCCAGAAATTCTAGGGGTTCTAAGTGATTTCTCAAAAACAAGAAGCATGGAGACATGAATGGATGGAAGGAGACATGGATGGATGGGTGGATAGAGACATAGATGGTTGGGTGGAGACATGGATGGATGGGTAGAGACATGGATTGATGGATGGATGGATGGATGGATGGTGAGAGAAATGGATGGATGGATAGAGACATGGATAGATGGATGGATGGATAGTGACATGGATGAAGACATGGTTGGATGGAAAGAGACATGGATGGATGGCTAGATGGATGGATGGCTGGAGACATAGATGGATAGATGGCTAGAGACATGGATGGATGGATAGAGACATGGATGGATGGATAGAGGCATGGATGGATGGATAGAGACATGGATGGATGGATAGAGACATGGATGGATAGATGGATGGATAGAGACATAGATGGACAGATAGAGACATGGATGGATGGATAGAGACATGGATGGATGGATAGAGACATGGATGGATAGATGGATGGATGGACATATAGATGATAGAGACATATATGGACGGATAGAGACATGGATGGGATGGATAGAGACATGGATGGATAAAGACATGGATGGATGGATAGAGACATGGATGGATAGATGGATGGATAGAGACATATATGGACGGATAGAGACATGGATGGAAGGATAGAGACATGGATGAATGGATGGATAGAGACATAGATGGATGGATAAAGACATGGATGGATGGATAGAAGACATGGATGGATGGATGGATAGAGACATAGATGGATGGATAGATGGATAGAGACATGGATGGATGGATAGAGACATGGATGGATGGATAGATACATGTATGGATGGATGGATGGATGGATGGATAGAGACATGGATGGATGGATGGATGGATAGAGACATAGATGGATGGATAGAGACATGGATGGATAGATGGATGGATAGAGACATAGATGGATGGATAGATGGATAGAGACATGGATGGATGGATGGATGGATGGATGGATAGAGACAAGGATGGATGGCTAGAGACATAGATGGATGGCTAGAGACATGGATGGATAGAGACATGGATGGATGGATTGATAGAGATATGGATGGATCATTAGAGACATGGATGGATGGATCGATAGAGACATGGATGGATGGATGGATGGATAGATGGATGGATAGAGGGATGGATGGATGGAGACATGGATAATTAGGGTAATACTGCAGTTTGCAGATGGCTTGTTGTGTAGACACGACTGAATTTTAACTGCTTCACTAGACCGGGGCAGGGACAATGGGTGGGCAGGAGGGGCGGCTGCCCTGGGCCCAGTGGAGCAAGGGGGCAGAGAATGGACGCAGGGCGGTGCACCCATTCTACAGCATGCTTTATCAGTGAGGGAGGATAAAAGGGAGCCGGATGAACCAGTACTGCCCCAAACTGTAAGTACTCACCCTGTAGTCACTGGAGGTGACGTAGAAGATGGGTAGAAACGCCAACCAGATGATGCAGGTGGTATACATGGTGAAACCGATGAACTTGGCCTCGTTGAAGTTCTCCGGGCACTTTCGCGTCTTGAACGCGTAGAGCGTGCATAGAAGGACGAGCAGGACGTTGTAGGACAATGACAGGAGCATGCTTCCATCTCGGCTGTTACACTTCAGGGTCACCACATACCTCTTATCTGGTGCGGTGTCCTTACGAGTCCCGGCCGGCTCCAGAAGAAGCCAGACCACCACCACCAAGAGCTGGCAGGAGATGAGGGCCAGGCAGATGCCTACTTGAGAGGCCGGACTTATGAACCTGGGCCGCTGGACACCATCCTGAGCTCCGTTGAAAATTCGGGCGATGCGGTTGGTCTTGGTGAGCAAGGCCGAATAACAAATAGCAAAAGACGTTCCGAGCCCAAGGCGTCGAAGGGTGCAGACGCTGGTGGAGGGTTTGGCAATCAATACGAAGGTCATGGCGTAGCAGAGAAGCACGCCGCTCAGCAGGATGTAGCAAAGTTCGCGTCCAGACGCCTTGACTATTGGGGTATTGTTGTTCTGTATGAACACCCAAAACGCAAAGAGCGTAGAGATGAGCCCCAAGCAGGACAGGCAGACCGGCCCCAACGCCCAGGCGTCACTCCAGCGTATATACTCCTGCGGCAACTCGAAACAGTCCTTCAGATCCTCATTGGGCCAGTAGCCAAGGCCGCAGTCCCTACAGGTGAATTCGTCCAGGAGGTACTCATGCGGTTGGCAGGGGATGCAGATCCAGCAGCAGACATCTCCAGGTTGCATGCTTTTCACCTCGTTCTTCTTGCAGGGGTCGCTGCACTGGGACACAGGCACCGAGCTGCGGGACCAAGGGATGAGGCTTGTGTTGAGCGTCAGCTCTTCGGCCCAGTAGCCGACCTTCTCGTAGTGGTAATGACCATCCGTGTTCTGGAAATTGAAGATATTGTAACGGCCGATTCCATCTCCAAATTTGTCGAATCTCACCGTGTTGCTGGTGTCTGGAGGAGGGAAGGGAGCTGGAAACAGAGATACAAGAAGTCACCAAGGTGTCATTCCAATCAAATGGGTTCCATTGAACAAAGTTACACCATCAACGGGGCTACTCGGCCTATTGACTATCATGGGAGGTCCAAGGGCTGCGTGAAGCTTCAGCCCTTATCTGAAATCAGAGGTGCTGAGATGGCTTGGCAGGCGAGGGGCTGCCACAGATAATCGTGCAACTGAAACCGTCTTCATGGCCGCCCCCCTAACAATCCATCTCTGATAAGAGCTCAGACATCACGTAGCCCTCCCCTCCCCCGCTGCACTGTAAGTTATTGAGCTGATGCTTACAATACAACCAACCAAATTCTTCCCGCCAATCTTGTTGGTTTCTAGGAAAATTTTATTTTTAGAGATTTAGCAATGAGGCAGAAACATCTCCTCCACCGATCTTACTAGAAGTGAAATGGTGGTGGTCGGTGGGAGTAAAAAAAAAAAAAAAAATGACAGCACCAGTGGTCAGTAGGAGGTGGAATAGAGCTCCATCATTGGTGTCAGGTAGGAGGTGGAAATAGAGCTCCATCATTGGTGTCAGTGGGAGGAATAGTGCCCCATCATTGGTGTCAGTGGGAGGAATAGTGCCCCATCATTGGTGTCAGTCAGTGGGAGGAATAGTGCCCCCATCATTGGTGTCAGTGGGAGGAATAGTGCCCCATCATTGGTGTCAGTGGGAGAATAGTGCCCCATTGCTGGTATCAGTAGGAAGAATAGTTTCCATTTGTTGGTGCCAGTGAGTGAAATAGTGCCCCATCATTGGTGTTGAGAGGCAGAATAATGCCCCATTGTTGGTAGTGGCCCATCATGGATGGAAGTGCCCCATCGTTGGTGTCAGTGGGAGGAATAGCCCCCCATTGTTGGTGTCAGTGGAAAGAATAGTGACCCATTGATGGTATTGGTGGGAGGAAAAGTGACCCAATCATTGGCATCATCATGGGAGGAATAGTGCCCCAGTGCCCCATCATTGGTATCGGTAGGAGGAATAGTGCCCCATCATTGGTGTCAGTGGGAAGAATAGTGCCCCCATCATCGGTATCAGTAGGAGGTTAGTTTCCAATTGTTGGTGTCAGTGGGATGAATAGTGCTCCATCATTGGTGTCAGTGGGAGGAATAGTGCCCCATCTTTGGTGTCAATGGGAGAATAGTACCCCATCATTGGTGTCAGTGGGAGGAATAGTGCCCCATCATTGGTGTCAGTGGGCGGAATAGTACCCATCATTGGTGTCAGTGGGAGGAATAGTGCCCCATCATTGGTGTCAGTGGGAGGAATAGTGCCCCATCATTGGTGTCAGTGGGAGGAATAGTACCCATCATTGGTGTCAGTGGGAGGAATAGTTTCCCATTGTTGGAGCCAGAGGGATAAATAGTGCCCCACTGTTGATGTCAGTGAAAGGAATAGTGTCCCATTGTTGGTGTCAGTGATCATACCCCACTGTTGCTGTCCATGGAAGAAATAGTGCCTTATCATTGGTGACAGTGAACAGGAATAGCACTCCAAGGGCCAGATAAAGGCAAGCAAAGGCCTAATCTGGCCCACGGGTCCCAGTTGGGAGACCACTGATCTAGGCTAATGAAACGTTGGCTGAAGTTGGGTTTTAAAAGCCTTCTCCATCACCGGCATGACAACTTACCGTCAAACTTCACGCTGAGGATGTAGTCCCGATAGAGGCGTCGTCCATTGGGCGGTTTCATAGTGGGGCAGAACCTGAGTGACATTGGGGCACAGTGCCTGGTACATATTGTGGAGGGCCTGTGCCATGGCATAGACGGCGTTCACCACGAACATGATTTTGGACTCTTGCTCAAACTTCACCTCTTGCAGTGTGTGCCTCATGCAGTCCAAGGTGTCGAGCCGACAATGGAACTTGTTTTCCCAGAATTCCCTGAACCAAGGATTGCGTGTGTGTTATGAAGGGGTGCAAAGACTGGAAGTACTTTGAGAACTCCCACAGCGGGTACGATGCCAGCTCTATGGTGATGGCACCTTCAGCGACCTCCTCACTGCCCAGCACCACGCTCTCCAACGCTCCCCAACCATCGCTGGCCACCCACATGAAGGAGACGTTGAGTTGTTGGGCCCGCTGCCAGTAGCTCCCGGGCATCCTCGATCTTGGTGAAGAGGACAACCACCTTGGCGCTGGGCTTCTGCTGCAGGGCCCGGATAACACTGGTAAAGGTTTTCTTTATTCATGGAGCGCCCCACCTTCTCGGAGGTGGCGATGCAGATGTTACGAGCCCGAGCCTCCTGCTCAAAAGCCTCTATGCCGGTTTCACCGTAATCTCCCTCAGACGCCACGGTGGAGACGTAAGTCCAGTTGAAGAAGCGTAGGATCTCCGCCATGGCCTTGGCTTGGTAGAAGTCGGGGGAACCGTTCGTGCGAAGAAGTCGTACCGCGACTTATCGCTCAGCTTGGCACTAGTGGAGGCGTAACTGATCTGTGGGATCTGGAAGAGCCGCAGAAGGTTGGCCACCTGAGGAAGGGGAATAAAGAGCAAAAAAAGCAAAGTCATTATTTTCTTCCATTTACATTTTCTCACGTTTTCCTCATTTAATGATTGTATAGAAATGTCACATATTCCATGAAAAGAATACACACTACTATTATTATACATTTGTATGGCTCTGATCTATACCACAGCGCTGTACAGAGAACACTGAGCCAGTCAACAGTCTCTGACCAGAGGAGCTTACACTAATGTCCCCTCCCCCACAGTCCCATCAGTCTCTGTACCAGAGGAGCTTACACTCTAATGTCCCCTCCCCCACAGTCCCATCAGTCTCTGTACCAGAGGACTTACACTCTAATGTCCCACAGTCCCCCACAGTCCCATCATGATCTGTGTACCAGAGGAGCTTACACTCTAATGTCCCCTCCCCCACAGTCACAGCAGTCTCTGTACCAGGAGCTAACACTCTAATGTACCCCTCCCCCACAGTCCCCATCAGTCTCTGTACAGAGAGCTTACACTCTAATGTCCCCTCCCCCAGTCCCATCATCTCTGTACCAGAGGAGCTTACACTCCCCTCCCCCACAGTCCCATCAGTGTACCAGAGGAGCTTACACTCGAATGTCCCCTCCCCACAGTCACAGCAGTCTCTGTACCAGAGGAGCTAACACTCTAATGTCCCCTCCCCCACAGTCCCATCAGTCTCTGTACCAGAGGAGCTTACACTCTAATGTCCCCTCCCCCACAGTCCCATCAGTCTCTGTACCAGAGGAGCTTACACTCGAATGTCCCCTCCCCCCACAGTCACAGCAGTCTCTGTACCAGGAGCTTAACAGGTCCCCTCCCCCACAGTCCCATCAGTCTCTGTAACACTTACACTCTAATGTCCCCTCCCCCCACACAGTCCCATCAGTCTCTGTACCAGAGGAGCTTACACTCTAATGTCCCCTCCCCCACAGTCCCATCAGTCTCTGTACCAGAGGAGCTTACACTCTAATGTCCCCTCCCCCACAGTCCCATCAGCCTCCGTACCAGAGGAGCTCACTCTAATGTCCCCTCTCCACAGTCACATCGACCAGAGCTTACACTCTAATGTCCCCTCCCCCCCACAGTCCCATCGGTCCCGTACCAGAGGAGCTTGCACTCTAATGTTCCCTCCCCCACAGTCACATCAGTCTCTGTAGCAGAGAGCTTACACTCTAATGTCCCCTCCCCCACAGTCCCATCAGTCCTGTACCAGAGGAGCTAACACTCTAAATGTACAGTCCAGTCTCTGTACAGAGGAGCTTACACTCTAATGTCCCCTCCCCCCCCACAGTCCCATCAGTCTCCGTACCAGAGGAGCTCACACTCTAATGTCCCCTCCCCCACAGTCCATCAGTCTCTGTACAGAGGAGCTTACACTAATGTCCCCCTCCCACAGTCCCAGAGTCTCTGTACCAGAGAGAGCTTACACACTAATGTCCCCTCCCCCACTAGTCCCATCAGCCTCCGTACCAGAGGAGCTTACACTCTAATGTCCCATCAGTCTCTGTACCAGAGAGCTGACACTCTAATGTCCCCTCCCCCACAGAGTCCATCAGTCTCTGTACCAGAAGAGAGCTGACACTCTAATGTCCCCTCCCCAGAGTCCCATCAGTCTCTGTACCAGAGGAGCTTACACTCTAATGTCCCCTCTCTTAACACAAATCCCCCCTCCTAGCACAAATCCACCCGCCCCCCCCCTATCCCTTCCCTGCCAACACCACCCCCCCGAATTCCTCCCCCCAAATCCCCCAAATCCCCTAACCTAACAAAATCCCCCTAAATCCTCCCACCTAGCACAAATTCCCCCCCCCCCCCCCATTTCCCCTTCCTAGCACCAATCCTCTTCCTTCAGTCCTCCCCACCTAGTACCAAATGCCCCATTCCTAACACAAGTCACCCCATCCCCTCTCCTAGCACAAATCCCCCCAAATCCTCCCTCCTAGTACAAATTCCCCTCCATTTCCCCCTCCCAGCACCAATCCTCTTCCTTCAGTCCTCCCCACCTAGGACAAATTCCCCAAATCTCTCCCACCCACCCCAGCACCTCCCCTAGATCCGGCCATGGTGTAGAGTAGGGAAACCAGCAGCTGTAGCTGTGCCCTAGGTGGCAGTGTTCCCTAGGCGGCTGCCTAGTTCTCCTAGTGGCCCCTGCCCATTGGAAGATTTCTGTTCTGGGGACAACCCAAAATGTGGAATTTTCCTTCACTTTCCCTCTCGGTGATAATAGCAAAGAGGACAAATACAAAGGGGGAATCTCCCCAACGAGGACACAGACCGCCATAAAAACCTGACAGGGGGTCTAATCCATCTCCACTCCATCCAAAAATTCCAAAAAAAAGTTTTCCTTTAGGAATTAATAGTAATGTAATAATAATAATGAAGTAAACGGTGTGTTATACATCAGGAGCTCCACCCTAAATAGAGTCATTTGTATCCTACCTGTATGGACACATCACTGTAGGATCCTCCAATCACCCCACTGATGGCTGTGAGGGTCTCCCCATGTATAGCGTATGATCCATCTGGACACAGGTACTGAGGTCCATCCCCCCGGGTCAGAGATCCTCGTACCAACTCCAAGGCCTGCTCCAGAGCGTACGTGTCTTTGGAACATGTGTCCAGTATATGGGCCCCCAACTGAAGCCCGGGGAGGATTTGTGGGTCCCTGTTAATGGCATCCAAAGCAAAGAGCATGGCTTCCAGTCTCTGCAGCCCACGGTGCTCATTCATGCGGCCACACTCCGAGCCAGGTTCTCCTTTCTCATGGACCGGAAAGAGACCCCCGATCACCAGATCCCCTTCAATTCGGATCTCCGGCCGAGGAATCTTGCCGCTCTTATCCATGGCGAACGCGGGCAGCCAGAAGAGCGTCCAAAAGACGTTAGCCATCTGGTAGAACCTGCTGAAGGTCTGAAGCTAGCAGCTTGGAGGATCGGTCAGGATGCTCAGTGATGAGTCAGAACTGGAGAATAATGAAGCTTCCAAGAAATGAAAGGTGGAATATCGAAGAATCCAGAAGACGTGAGGGGGAGACGGAGAACATGTCCTACATCTCTGTCCTGGATGGACAAAAAAAAAAGATTGGAGTCAGACATGGCTGAAAAGAAGAACACAGGTTAGATATTCTGGATAATGGTTGGAGAAGTGTTGGATCCGCCACAATTTATTTATCACAGTATCCAAAAAAAAATCCAACTCGTTTTAGGTTCTGAAGGGTCTCCTTCATCAGGGCCCAAAAATCAGAGACTAAGACCCAGATATTGGAGTTATTTGTCTCGAATGAAGAGTTTTTCAAACAGGCAAAAAAAAAGGTTTTATGGTGCTGAACCTGAAAAATGCTTTAGTTCTTATTGGATACGGTCAGAATATGTAGGCTGCATTTATGATACATTGTTCCAAGAGCTTTACAGGGGCCCTGTGCTATTTGAAGGCTCCTACACCCAACCTTTCTCAACGTTTTCATTGCAGAGGAACCCTTGAAATAACTTTCCAGTCTCAGGGACCCCCAATGTAAGGGACATTCTTCTTACTAACCCCCAATGTAAGGGACATTCTTTCCACTGACCCCCAATGTAAGGGACATTCTTTCCACTGACCACCAATGTAAGGGACATTCTTCCCACTGACCACCAATGTAAGGGACATTCTTCCCACTGACCCCCAATGTAAGGGACATTCTTCCCACTGACCCCCAATGTAAGGGACATTCTTCCCACTGAACCCCAATGTAAGGGACATTCTTCTCACTGACCACCAATGTAAGGGACATTCTTCCCACTGACCATCAATGTAAGGGACATTCTTCCCACTGACCACCATTTGTAAGGGACATTCTTCCCACTGACCACCAATGTAAGGGACATTCTTCCCACTGACCCCCCAATGTAAGAGACATTCTTCCCACTGACCACCAATGTAAGGGACATTCTTCCCACTGACCCCCCCCCAATGTAAGGGGCATTCTTTCCACTGACCCCCAATGTAAGGGACATTCTTCCCACTGACCCCCAATGTAAGAGACATTCTTCTCACTAATCACCAATGTAAGGGACATTCTTCCCCACTGACCCCCAATGTAAGGGACATTCTTCCCACTGATCACCAATGTAAGGGACATTCTTCCCACTGACCACCAATGTAAGGGACATCCTTCTAACTGACCACCAATGTAAGGGACATTCTTCCCACTGATCACCAATGTAAGGGACATTCTTCCCACTGACCCCCAATGTAAGGGACATTCTTCCCACTGACCACCAATGTAAGGGACATTCTTCCCACTGACCCCCAATGTAAGGGACATTCTTCCCACTGATCACCAATGTAAGGGACATTCTTCCTACTGACCCCCAATGTAAGAGCAATTTTGTCCGCTGACCACCAATGTAAGGGACATTCTTCCCACTGACCACCATTGTAAGGGACATTCTTCCCACTGACCACCAATGTAAGGGACATTCTTCCCACTGACCCCCCAATGTAAGAGACATTCTTCCCACTGACCACCAATGTAAGGGACATTCTTCCCACTGACCCCCCAATGTAAGGGACATTCTTCCCACTGACCCCCAATGTAAGAGACATTCTTCTCACTAATCACCAATGTAAGGGACATTCTTCCCACTGATCACCAATGTAAGGGACATTCTTCCCACTGACCCCCAATGTAAGGGACATTCTTCCCACCGACCCCCAATGTAAGGGACATTCTTCCCACTGATCACCAATGTAAGGGACATTCTTCCCACTGACCACCAATGTAAGGGACATTCTTCCCACTACTGACCCCCAATGTAAGGGACATTCTTCCCACTGACCACCAATGTAAGGGACATTCTTCCCACTGACCCCCAATGTAAGGGACATTCTTCCCACTGACCCCCCAATGTAAGGGACATTCTTCCCACTGACCCCCAATGTAAGGGACATTCTTCCCACTGATCCCCAATGTAAGGGACATTCTTCCCACTGACCCCCAATGTAAGGGACATTCTTCCCACTGACCCCCAATGTAAGGGACATTCTTCCCACTGACCCCCAATGTAAGAGACATTCTTCCACTAATCACCAATGTAAGGGACATTCTTCCCACTGACCCCCAATGTAAGGGACATTCTTCCCACTGACCCCAATGTAAGGGACATTCTTCCCACTGACCACCAATGTAAGGGACATTCTTCCCACTGACCCCCCAATGTAAGGGACATTCTTCCCACTGACCCCCAATGTAAGGGACATTCTTCCCACTGACCCCCAATGTAAGGGACATTCTTCCCACTGACCACCAATGTAAGGGACATTCTTCTTACTGACCCCCAATGTAGGGGACATTCTTCCCACTGACCCCCAAATGTAAGGGACATTCTTCCCACTGACCCCCAATGTAAGGGACATTCTTCCCACTGACCCCCAATGTAAGGACATTCTTCCCACTGATCCCCAATGTAAGGGACATTCTTCCCACTGACCCCCAATGTAAGGGACATTCTTCCCACTGACCCCCAATGTAAGGGACATTCTTCCCACTGATCACCCCAAATGTAAGGGACATTCTTCCCACTGACCACCAATGTAAGGGACATTCTTCCCACTGACCACCAATGTAAGGGACATTCTTCCCACTGACCCCCAATGTAAGGGACATTCTTCCCACTGACCCCCAATGTAAGGGACATTCTTCCCACTGACCCCCAATGTAAGGAGACATTCTTCCCACTGACCCCCAATGTAAGGGACATTCTTCCCACTGACCCCCAATGTAAGGGACATTCTTCCCACTGACCCCCAATGTAAGGGACATTCTTCCCACTGACCCCCAATGTAAGGGACATTCTTCCCACTGACCCCCAATGTAAGGGACATTCTTCCCACTGATCACCAATGTAAGGGACATTCTTCCCACTGACCACCAATGTAAGGGACATTCTTCCCACTGACCCCCAATGTAAGGGACATTCTTCCCACTGATCCCCAATGTAAGGGACATTCTTCCCACTGACCCCCCCAATGTAAGGGACATTCTTCCCACTGACCCCCCAATGTAAGGGACATTCTTCTTACTGACCCCCAATGTAAGGGACATTCTTCCCACTGACCCCCCCCAATGTAAGGGACATTCTTCCCACTGACCCCCCCAATGTAAGGGACATTTCTTCCCACTGACCCCCAATGTAAGGGACATTCTTCCTACTGACCCCCAATGTAAGGGACATTCTTCCCACTGACCCCCAATGTAAGGGACATTCTTCCCACTGACCACCAATGTAAGGGACATTCTTCCCACTGACCCCCAATGTAAGGGACATTCTTCCCACTGACCACCAATGTAAGGGACATTCTTCCCACTGATCACCAATGTAAGGGACATTCTTCCCACTGACCCCCAATGTAAGGGACATTCTTCCCACTGACCCCCAATGTAAGGAGCATTCTTCCCACTGACCCCCAATGTAAGGAGCATTCTTCCCACTGATCACCAATGTAAGGGACATTCTTCCCACTGACCCCCAATGTAAGGGACATTCTTCCCACTGACCACCAATGTAAGGGACATTCTTCCTACTGACCCCCAATGTAAGGGACATTCTTCCCACTGACCCCCAATGTAAGGGACATTCTTCCCACTGACCCCCCAATGTAAGGGCATTCTTCCCACTGACCCCCCCAATGTAAGGAGCATTCTTCCCACTGACCCCCAATGTAAGGAGCATTCTTCCCACTGACCCCCAATGTAAGGGACATTCTTCCCACTGACCCCCAATGTAAGGGACATTCTTCCCACTGACCACCAATGTAGGGGGCATTCTTCCCACTGACCCCCAATGTAAGGGACATTCTTCCCACTGACCCCCAATGTAAGGGACATTCTTCCCACTTACCCCCAATGTAAGGGCATTCTTCCCACTGACCCCCAATGTAAGGGACATTCTTCCCACTGACCCCCAATGTAAGGGACATTCTTCCCACTGACCCCCAATGTAAGGGACGTTCTTCCCACTGACCCCCCAATGTAAGGGACATTCTTCCCACTGACCCCCCAATGTAAGGGACATTCTTCCCACTGACCCCCAATGTAAGGGACATTCTTCTTACTAACCACCAATGTAAGAGGAATTTTGTCCGCTGACCTCTCACAAAGGGGTTCCTCCAGGGTAAAAGGGTTGAGAAAGACTGTTCTACAGTATTACAGATGTAACAAGGGTCATGTGAAAGGGTGACAACACAGGTGAGAAATGATCATGGTCAGTTGTCACCCCAGTTTCTGAACGATGGCAGGATCTCCAAGGAATTTGAGTAAAAGCTGAAAGTTGCAATCAAGGCCCGTAAAGCCACGAACATGTGGGAGCTTCTATGAAATTCGAGTGGTTCGGGTTCGACCTACTTCTGGTTACCAGCAGGTCTGTATCTGCACGGCCCCCCCTGGCTAGTGGGGTTTCCTGTGAATTCCATTGTATGGTATATATATATATATGCCTCTGTGGGGATATTTTTTGCACTTTTGCTGTGAATTGGCTCCAGTCCAACGTCGGAATAAATAGAAGACGCGCTGTTTCCGATTATTTCCCGTTCCCTCCCACACTGATCCCCAGGCTCTGTTGTACGGTTTTATTTTCCCAGAATGCCTTGCGCCGCCTTTGAGAGTGACCCCTTTGCAGCTGTCAGTGCGCGGGGGTCTTTGTCCTGTACAGTGTGAGGCGGCCTGTAGAGAAACCTTCAAACCAACAATGTGCTGTTTACGTGGGCATCTGTGTGACACCAATCCATCTGTCTGCGCTCAGCGCCTCGCCTTCCCACTCCTCTCCTCCAGCCCTCCTCCGTACATTCCTCACGTTTCTCCACCATTCTGCAGAATCCTCGGCCATTCCCGAAGAAAGCCACATTTTCACGGCACCTCCCGAACGCGCACAAACCGCCCCGATCTGTTTTTCTGCAAATGTTATCTTTTTTTTATTTTTTTGGTTCTCTTTTGTGCCAATTATTTCTCAATTGCAGCAATTTGTAGCTTTTATAGTAAGAGAAGAATTTGCAGAGAGATTGTCGCGTTCGCCCGCCGGCGCCCGTCCTGCGGGAATGTGTACAAGTGTTACTATTCATCCTTCTGTAGTCTTCCCGTCTCGTCCCGTCACATCGCCCACAAATGGGGGAATTATTCCACAAGTCAGGACAACGCTGGCTAATCCTGTGCGCCCCGACGACCAAACGCGAGGACGGCGGATGTGCTGCGCTAATGTCGTCTAATGTGACAGAGCCATTCATTCCAAACTTCCAGATTACGGATGTATCTTGGCCATGGAATCCATGGGGGGGATTTACTAAAACTGGAGGGTGCAAAATCAGGTGCGGCTGTGCATGGCAGCCAATCAGCTTCACCAATGATGGGGCACTATTCCTCCAACATACTCCAATGATGGGGCACTCTGCTTCCCACTGACACCAATGATGGGGCACTCTGCTTCCCACTGACACCAATAATGGGGCACTATTCCTCCCACTGACACTAATAATGGGGCACTATTCCTCCCACTGACACTAATGATGGGGCACTATTCCTCCCACTGACACCAATGATGGGGCACTCTGCTTCCCACTGACACCAATAATGGGGCACTGTTCCTCCCACTGACACCAATAATGGGGCACTATTCTTCCCACTGACACTAATGATGGGGCACTCTGCTTCCCACTGACACCAATGATGGGGCACTCTGCTTCCCACTGACACCAATAATGGGGCACTATTCCTCCCACTGACACCAATAATGGGGCACTATTCCTCCCACTGACACCAATAATGAGGCACTTTTCCTTCCACTGACACCAATGATGGGGCACTATTCCTTCCACTGACACCAATAATGAGGCACTTTTCCTTCCACTGACACCAATGATGGGGCACTATTCCTCCCACTGACACCAATAATGGGGCACTATTCCTCCTACTGACACCAATGATGGGGCACTATTCCTCCCACTGATACCAATGATGGGGCACTATTCCTTCCACTGACACCAATAATGAGGCACTTTTCCTCCCACTGATACCAATGATGGGGCACTATTCCTCCCACTGACACCAATGATGGGACACTATTCCTCCCACTGATACCAATGATGGGGCACTATTCCTCCCACTGACACCAATGATGGGGCACTATTCCTCCCACTGACACCAATGATGGGGCACTATTCCTCCCACTGATACCAATGATGGGACACTATTCCTCCCACTGACACCAATGATGGGGTACTATTCCTCCCACTGACACCAATGATGGGGCACTATTCCTCCCACTGATACCAATGATGGGGCACTATTCCTCTCACTGATACCAAATGATGGGGCACTATTCCTCCCACTGATACCAATGATGGGGCACTATTCCTCTCACTGATACCAATGATGGAGCACTATTCCTCCCACTGATACCAATGATGGGGCACTATTCCTCCCACTGATACCAATGATGGGACACTATTCCTCCCACTGATACCAATGATGGGGCACTATTCCTCTCACTGACACCCAATGATGGGGCACTATTCCTCCTACTGACACCAATGATGGGGCACTATTCCTCCCACTGACACCAATGATGGGGCACTTGCTATGTGTATGTATCACTGTTAATCCCATGATGCAGATGGTGGGCTCAGGCACAACATTTCAGAGGGTGTCATTCCCTTTCTCTGCATATCAGTCCCTGTCCTCAAAGAGCTTACATACAACGCCGTGTTTCTTAGCCTTTCTTAGTCATGGCAACCTACAAAGGTGTGCAGAATCTCATAGCATCCAGTCTAAAATAGGGTCCCTCCATCACATATGGAGCCCCCCCTTTCACATCAGAGTCTCACATTTGTATCAGAGTCCTTGCCACCCACCCTCCCTTTTTATCAGAACCTTGATCAGAACCCGCAGCCCCCCCCCCCCTTCCACATAAAAGCCTGCAGTCCCCCCTCTTTCACATCAGAGTCTCACCCCTTCTTCCCTTTTTATCAGAGCCCCCTGCAGTCCCCCCTCTTTCACATCAGAGTCCTTGCCACCCTCCCCTTTCACATCAGAGTCCCAAACCCCTCTAAGCCTGCAGTCCCCCCTCTTTCACATCAGAGTCCTCATCACCCCCCCTTCACATCACAGTCCCAAAGTCCCCCCTCCCTTTTTCAAAGCCCGAGTCCTCAGTCCCCCCTCTTTCACATCAAATCCCTCAGTCCTCCCTTTTTCACAGCAGAGCCTCAGTCCCCCCTCTTTCACATCAGAGCCCTCAATCCCCCCTCTTTCACTTTAGAACCCTCAGTCCCCCCCTCTTTCACATCAGAACCCTCGGTCCCCCCTCTTTCACATCAGAACCCTCAGTCCCCCCTCTTTTACATTAGTGCCCTCAGCCCCCCCCCCCCATTTCACATCAGAGTCCTCAGCCCCCTCTTTCACATCAGAGTCCTCAGCCCCCCCTTCATCACATCAGAGTACTCAGCCCCCCTCTTTCACATCAGAGCCCTCAGCCCCCCCCTCTTTCACATCAGAGCCCTCAGTCCCCCCCCCCTCACATCAGAGCCCTCAGTCCCCCCTCTTTCACATCAGAACCCTCAGTCCCCCCTCTTTCACAATAGTGCCCTCAGCCCCCCCCCCCCCCCTTTCACATCAGAGCCCTCAGCCCCCCCCTTTCACATCAGAGCCCTCAGCCCACTCCCCCCTCTTTCACATCAGAGCCCTCGGCCCCCCCCCTTTCATATCAGAGCCCTCAGCCCCCCCTTTTTACATTAGAGCCCTCAGCCCCCCCCCCTCTTTCACATCAGAGCCCTCAGCCCCCCCCCCCTTTCACATCAGAGCCCTCAGCCCCCCCTCTATAGCATGGCAACGCATGACGCTGTGCAGAAATATGAAATGTAGCACTGCACCCCCAACAAGCCCAGGAGGTGCCCCGGAGTGCCGCAGCATCCTGGTGAAGAAATACTGATCGAGGGTCCCTACCTCACATACATTCTAGGGCCAGTTTAGACAGGCTCAAAATAACTTTACGCAAGCACAGGGAGCCATGCAAACTCCATGCAGATGCTGGCCAGGATTTGAACCAAGGACTCCAGTGCTGCAAGGTTACATGGTGCTAACCACTAAGCCACTGTGCTGCTTTATGACATTTTACTGCTTTGCAAGGAAAGAATATTTTGGTCAATGGTGATATTTAGTGATGACAGACGCTCCTTTTTTATATCACATTATCCCGTTTTCCCATCAGATCCCAATTCTGCTTTCCCAGGAAATTCCTTATTCTAATAAGTCCGGATCGTCTTCCTTGTATGCAGGGTTGGTGTCAGAAACCACAGAGCCCCATACAGCCAACTTGACAGGTCCCCCTGCCGCCCCTAAGAAAACCCAGTTTACTATGCTTCAGTTATGATTGAACACAGTGAGTGACTGGTACCAATCAGTGCATTTCATACCATGCTGTTCTGCAGACTCTGAGAGCATGCTCTGCTTCCTGTAGTGGGGACAGGGCTGCTGTTAGAACTAGAGATGAGCGAATCGAACCAGGCGAAGTGGAATTCATTTTCGAATTTCAGGAAAAATTAGATTCGCGTCGAATCCGAATATTAGCATACTTCGGGTGCGCGAATCGGATTTTTCCCGATCAGCCGGCAAAAGTGTCCCTGCAGAGAGCTCCGCTATTTCTGACAGTTCTCTGACAGTTCCTTCACATGTACAGCAGTTGAAACATTGTATCTATTTGTTTCCATTTAGGATACAGATGTTTTTATTTGGAAATAGATACAATGTTTCAACCGTGTAAATGTACATGTGAAGGAACTGTCAGAAATAGCGGAGCTCTCTGCAGATACACTTTTTGCTGTACTGGAATACTTCTTCTTTTCATTCTTCTTTTCATTCTTCTCATTCTTCTTTTCATTCTTCTTTTTATTCTTCTTCTCATTCTTCTTTTCATTCTTCTTCTTCTTTTCATTCTTCTTCTTTTTCATTCTTCTCATTCTTCTTCTTCTTCTTCATGAAAAGAAGAATGAGAAGAAGAATGAAAAGAAGAATGAGAAGAAGAATGAAAAATGAAAGAAAAGAGAAGAAAGAATGAAAAGAAGAATGAAAAGAAGAAGAAAAGAATGAAAAAGAAGAAGAAAGAATGAAAAGAAGAATGAAAAGAAGAAGAAAGAATCTTTTCATTCTTCTCATTCTTCTTTTCATTCTTCTTTTCATTCTTCTTCTTCTTCTTTTCATTCTTCTTCTTCTTTTCTTCTTCTTCTTCTTTCTTCTTCTTCTTCTTCTTCTTCTTCTTCATTCTTCTTCTTCTTTTCATTCTTCTTCTTCTTCTTTTCATTCTTCTTCTTCTTCTTTTCATTCTTCTTTTCATTCTTCTTTTCATTCTTCTTTTCTTCTTCTTCTTTCTTCTTTTCTTCTTCTTTTCATTCTTCTCATTCTTCTTTTCATTCTTCTCATTCTTCTTTTCATTCTTCTTCTTTCTTCTTCTTCATTCTTCTTCTTTCTTCTTCTTCTTTTCATTCTTCTTTTCATTCTTCTCATTCTTCTTTTCTTCTTCATGAAAAGAAGAATGAGAAGAAGAAGAAAAGAAAATGAAAAGAAATGAAAAGAAGAATGAAAAGAAGAAAAAAGAAGAAGAAAAAAAGAAGAATGAAAAGAAGAATGAAAAGAAGAATGAAAGAAGAAGAAGAAGAATGAAAAGAAGAATGAAAGAAGAATGAAAAGAAGAATGAAAAGAAGAATGAAAAGAAGAATGAAAAGAAGAATGAAAAAGAAGAAGAAGAAAAGAAGAATGAAAAGAAGAAGAAGAAGAAGAAAAGAAGAAGAAAGAAGAAGAATGAAAAGAAGAATGAAAAGAAGAATGAAAAAGAAGAATGAAAAAAGAAAAGAATGAAAAAAGAATGAAAAGAAGAATGAAAGAAGAATGAAAAGAATGAAATGAAGAATGAGAAGAAGAATGAAAAGAAGAATGAAAAGAATGAAAAAGAAAGAATGAAAGAAGAAGAAGAATGAAAAGAAGAAAAAGAAGAATGAAAGAATGAAAAGAAGAATGAAAGAAGAAGAAGAATGAAAAAAGAAGAATGAATCTTTTCATTCTTCTTTCTTCTTTTTCTTCTTTTTCATTCTTTCTTTTCATTCTTCTTTTCTTTTCATTCTTCTTCTTTTCATTCTTCTTCTTCTTCTTCTTTTCATTCTTCTTCTTCTTCTGAGGATGAAAAGAAGAAGATGAAGAATGAAGAAGAAGAAGTAGGATGAAAATAAGAAGAATTCCAAGACCGGCAAAAAGTGTATCTGCAGAGCTCACAGCAGTTGAAACATTGTATCTATTTTGTTTCCATTTATGAAAACAAATAGATACAATGTTTCAACCGCTGTAAAATGTGAATGTCAGAGAACTGTCAGAGAAGAGAATAGCTTAGCGGAGCTCTGCAGATACACTTTTTGCCGGCTTGGAATTCTTCTTATTTTCATCCTACTTCTTCTTCTTCTTCTTCATCCTCATCATCATCCTCTTCTTCTGAAGAAGAAGAGGATGAGGATGAAGAAGAAGAAGAAGAAGAAGTAGGATGAAAATAATAAGAATTCCAAGCCGGCAAAAAGTGTATCGCAGAGCTCCGCTATTTCTGAGAGCTCCGCTTTCTCTGACATTCTCTTCTGAGATGATTTACAGCGGTTGAAACATTCTGAATCTATTTGTTTCTTCATTTATGGAAACAAATAGATACAATGTTGTTCAACCGCTGTATGGAATGAATGTCAGAGAACTGTCAGAAATAGCGGAAGCTGATATAAGAATTAGCGGAGCTCTGCAGATACACTTTTTTACCGGCTTGGAATTCTTCTTAGGTTTTCATCCTACTTTCTTCTTCATTCTCCTTCATCCTCATCTTCTCTCTTCTTTTCATTCTTCTTCTTCTTCTGATGAGATGAGGATGAAAAGAAGAAGAAGAAGAAGTTAGGATGAAAATAAGAAGAATT